CCTCTCTGGTCTTGGGTTCTGTGGTTAAAAACTGAACTGGACTCAGAGCCAGAGAGATGTTGCTGCGTCCCTCCTCCACAGTGAGCTGCAGTCTCTCCCTGAGCTCGGACACAGCTCTGGTCACTTCCTCAAAGGGGCTCCTGGCCTCTGAGTGGCCCCTGACTGGGACTGGCCCCTGTGAGTGTGAGGCCAGTGCAGTGTGGAGCTGTAGAAAGCTGTTGTGGTCTTTGGTGAGGGACAGTGTGTCCAGGTCACAGAGGCTCTTCTTCAGCTCCCTCAGCTCCTGCTTCACTTGGTCTTGGATCTCTCGGACTCGGCTCAGTCCTCTCTCCTCCTCAGACTGGATCTGTTGCTCCCACTTCTTTGGCTCTTGTCTCCAGGAGAAGGATCATGTCTCTGAAGCTGTCCCTGCTGAGCTGCAGTGCTGTGTGGGCAGAGGTCCTGATGTCCTGCTCCTGCTGTTGGAGTGAGCTCAGCTCTGTGTCTCTGTGCTGGACGTCCTGGAGGAGCAGGTGTCTCTGGGCCCCCAGCTGTGCCTGCCTCTGGGCCCTCTCTGAGGCTGAGGACACAGTCTCATGGTCCTTGTGCTGGTCCAGGCAGCAGACCAAACACAGGAGCTGTCCGTCAGTGCGACAGAACATGGTCTTCACCTGGTTGTGCTCAGAGCACATGTTTTCCTGGAGAGTGTGCGATGGCGCCACCAGCTGGTGTCTTTGAAGCACTGCAGAGTCATAATGAGGCTGTAGGTGGCGCTCACAGTAGGAGGCCACACACTGCAGACAGGACTGGACCGCTTTCAGCTTCCTGTCAGAGCACACGTCACAGGACACGTCCTGAGGCCCACAGAGGTCCTGAGGGTCAGCACAGAGGTCCTGAGGGCCAGCACAGAGGTCCTGAGGGTCAGCACAGAGGTCCTGAGGGTCAGCACAGAGGTCCTGAGGGTCAGCAGGGGGCGCTGTCCTCCTCTGCTCCACTACAGCTGCTAACAGGATGTTCTTGGTCAGCACAGGCCTCGGGGTGAAGCTCACACGACACTCGGGACAGGTGTAGAGCCGCTGCTCCTCCTCTGTGTCCCAGTGGTCCTGGACACACTTCAGGCAGTAGTTGTGTCCACAGGGAAGAGAGACCGGAGTCTGCAGTAAATCCAAACACACAGGACACAAGAAGAGCTCTGTCTGCGCCATCGCTGCTGCTACAGTTTCACTGACACGGAAATGAAACTTATGAGAGAGAGAGGGAGGGAGAGAGAGAGGGAGGGAGAGAGGGAGGGAGGGAGGGAGGAAGAGAGGGAGGAGGGAGGGAGAGGCCTGTGTATATATGTGTGTGTGTGTGTGTGTGTGATTCAAAACAACGCCCATTAACCCCAAACAACCACTGACAACACACTCAGAGAGAACAGAAGGACCAGAGGGAGGGGCCAGTGTGTGTGTGTGTGTGTGTGTGTGTGTGTGTGTGTCATGGCTGTGTGCGCATACATGGAAATAACCACAGATTATCAAGTGTGTACCTTCAAAAATCTCTAAATTTAACCGTGACTTGTACGTTTGAACTACAGTAAATCTCTCTTTTCTCACAAACATCATTCTTCAGCAGCAAAAACCTCTGGATCTACTTTACAATGCTGTCTGTACATTTGTTCCAGACTGCAGAGAGAGGGAGACCAGAGAGAGAGAGACCAGAGAGAGGGAGACCAGAGAGAGGGACCAGAGAGAGAGAGAGACCAGAGAGAGACCAGAGAGAGAGAGAGAGACCAGAGAGAGGGACCAGAGAGAGAGAGAGAGACCAGAGAGAGACCAGAGAGAGACACCAGAGAGAGAGAGAGAGACCAGAGAGAGAGACCAGAGAGAGGGACCAGAGAGAGAGACCAGAGAGAGACCAGAGAGAGACCAGGAAGAGAGACCAGAGAGAGACACCAGAGAGAGACCAGAGAGAGACCAGAGAGAGACCAGAGAGAGACCAGAGAGAGACCAGAGAGAGACCAAAGAGAGACCAGAGAGAGACCAGAGAGAGACACCAGAGAGAGACCAGAGAGACCAGAGAGAGACCAGAGAGAGAGGCCAGAGAGATACCAGAAAGTGACCAGAAAGTGACCAGAGAGAGACCAGAGAGAGACCAGACAGACCAGAGACCTGAGAGAGAAAGACAGAGACCAGAGAGACCAGAGAGACCAGAGAGAGACTAGAGAGAGACCAGAGAGAGACCAGAGAGAGAGAGAGACCAGAGAGAGACCAGAGAGAGACCGAAGAGAGGGAGGTACTCGTCAAATAAATGGGGCCAGTGCAGCTAGGTCAAGTGTGTCATTTCACATTTTCCAGCCCCAGCGGCCATTTTGAAAAGCCCCACAGAAGGCGAAAGTGACGGCACATTAGTTTGAACGGCAGAGATAGGCGTGTATGGAAGCCCGTTTCCGCCATGTAAAAAAAAAAAAAAGCCTACAGAAAGTCAAAATTTTGACTTTAAAACTCAAAATTACGAGTTTTCAACTGCGCATGTACAGTTGAAAACTCGTATGTGTTGTTGTCTGGAACAATCTCTGGTCATCCCTCTTATAGATCCATGACCATGGGTCATCCCTCTTATAGATCCATGACCATGGGTCATCCCTGTTATAGATCCATGACCATGGGTCATCCCTGTTATAGATCCATGACCATGGGTCATCCCTGTTATAGATCCATGACCATGGGTCATCCTCTACCTGCAGATTATGTGAAGATTTTTCCTACAGACAGTGACCACATCCATGAAGTAGCAGCAATAATGTTGTGGTAGTAATGGCGTTAAAATGCGAACGGTCTCTCCGTTTATGATTAGAATCCACTTCAGAAGCCGGATTTTAATTTATCCTAAACGGACTGTGGAAGATTAATAATAAAACACATGCGGCTGTTCAAAGTCATTGAGCATCAACTGGTGACATCTGGTCAGTATCACGGCTATCGATGGATGCACCAGAAATGCACTGAATGATATTGTGACTGACAGAGACCGTTCACGATGACAGGACAGTGAGAGAGGTCCACAGACAGAGGCAGGAGAACCACAGACAGAGGCAGGTGAACCACAGACAGAGGCAGGTGAACCACAGACAGAGGCAGGTGAACCACAGACAGAGGCAGGTGAACCACAGACAGAGGCAGGAGAACCACAGACAGAGGCAGGAGAACCACAGACAGAGGCAGGTGAACCACAGACAGAGGCAGGAGAACCACAGACAGAGGCAGGAGAACCACAGACAGAGGCAGGAGAACCACAGACAGAGGCAGGTGAACCACAGACAGAGGCAGGAGAACCACAGACAGAGGCAGGAGAACCACAGACAGAGGCAGGTGAACCACAGACAGAGGCAGGTGAACCACAGACAGAGGCAGGAGAACCACAGACAGAGGCAGGAGAACCACAGACAGAGGCAGGAGAACCACAGACAGAGGCAGGAGAACCACAGACAGAGGCAGGAGAACCACAGACAGAGGCAGGAGAACCACAGACAGAGGCAGGAGAACCACAGACAGAGGCAGGTGAACCACAGACAGAGGCAGGAGAACCACAGACAGAGGCAGGAGAACCACACACAGAGGCAGGTGAACCACAGACAGAGGCAGGAGAACCACAGACAGAGGCACTGACAATATAACCCTTTTGGAATTGCGATCAGTGCATTGAAGAGTATGTGACGTGTTTGCGTGCACGCGGGGGTGAGCTGATGGAGCGTGAGGTAAAGTTGTTGCGTATGAGCAAGAACACAGAGACATACAGGGAATAAGTGCCTTGTCTGATTATTTTATTGTGACAAAATAAAGCCCACGACTCTTTAAGCAACAATCCGGAGAAATAACTCCGCAGATAACAGTGAGGGTCTTTGAAAAGGGACTTAAACCCATTATAGATGCATGAATAAAACCCCGTCCTCAACACGTAGAAAGCGCATCATTTCAGTCGTGGAAACACTCGCTCCGTGTGGACCCCTCTCAGCGTCCGATTGGATTGGAATCATGCAGATTGGATTGGAATGTCTCGATGGCTCATTTTCCTTTGATTTATTATAAAAACATATTGCTCACATTATTTGTTACTATGTCGAAATAAGAAGTCGTTTGATTTAAATGTTGTATATATGTACATTGAATTTAACATAAATAAATAAAAAGACAGCCCCCCCTGCGTCCTACGAGCTTAAACAGGAAAGTTTTACAGAATCAATCAAACAACATTATTTCTGGCTACTTCAAGGAAGCAGTGGTCACTGTAGGCAATATCTTCACATAATCTGCAGGTGAAGGACGTCCAGAGACCGTTCCAGACAACAACACATACCGTGAGGTCCTGCACATGCGCAGTTGAAAACTCGTAATTTTGAGTTTTAAAGTCGTAATTTTGACTTTTAAACTCAAAATTTTGACTTTGTTTGCTTTTTTTTTTTTTACATGGCGGAAACGGGCTTCCATAGGCATGACTACGTGCGTTAATATTTAGTCTATGGTTCAGCCAAACGCCTCTGGTGGAGCATGGCGGAACTACAATGGTCTGGTGGACTCAGGCTAGCTTATTGTACGGCTTGGTACCAACTGAACACACAAAAAACAAACTTCAGTCCACTTTAATGAATGTCAAAAGGTTTATTTAATGACTGCAAATAAAATAGTTCCCAAAGGTTTTGCTGTTGGGGTCCGTTATCAAGAAATAATGACCGTAGAACGTTTTTACTGCTGCTGTGAAGCTGTAAAATAATATTTAAATAATGTTCAGTATGTTACTCTGACTCAGTGATTTGTGTGTTTGTGTGTGTGTGTGTGTGTAACTGTGTGTTTGTTACTGTTGTGTGACTGTGTGTGTGTGTGTGTGTGTGTGTTAATGCTGTGTGTGTGTGTGGGACTGTGTGACTGTGTGTGTCTTACCACACTGTAAATGTTTAGTGTTGCATTATTTGTAGGAAAATCAGTTTAAAAACACAGATGGATGCAGCAAAAAGAGCCTCATTCAGAGCCATATATTTGATTCAGTCAGTGTTGTCCTCCATCCTGCTCTTCTGCTCCTCCTCCTCCTCGTCTGTCTCTTCTTCTGCTCCTCCTCTTCTTCTGCTCCTCCTCTCTCCGGAACTGCCCTCTGCGAAACAAACACACAGATCTTAAAAGAGCGACTAAACACCTGTGCCTAGCCTGACTCCGAAGGCGGGGGTCTGGGCTGTGATTGACAGCTCGCTTGTCACACACAAAAACAGTTGTCATTGCTGCTTAAAAAAATTGTTTACAATCCAGAAAGTCTCATTCCTTTGTTTACACACTAAGATAATCTGATGTAATATAATATTAATCCACTAGATGTCGCCAGAACACTCCGACCCGTCACTGGGGCGTGTGTGAGACTTCTACTGGGGAAGTATGTGACAGCATGAAAGCGTTGAAGCACTAAAAGAGTTTTGAACCACTCTGTATTTGGATCTGTTTGAGGCGAGTGGCTGATCTCTCTTTCACAGCCATGATCTCAGGGCCGGCAGAAGTCACCCTACAGTAAACTCCAGCCACAATCACTTGCAAATACATATTAGGAATATATTAAATATTACACTAATCATTACTATATTATTATTGGTAGCGGAGATGAGCATTCAGCAGCTCCGCCTGTCCAAGAGTCCTGTACTTCCTTTAAGTGTGATGAAGATGTTATTATTTTTTATTATTTATTTATGTGTTGTTTTTCATTTAGGGACGGTGTGAATTGTGAATAAACTAAACTTGAACGGGTTTATACCACTGGCGCAGAGAGACGCACATCTCACACCACTGACTTCACACACACACCACTGACTTCACACACACACCAACTGACTGCACACACACACCAACTGACGTCACACACACACCAACTGACGTCACACACACACCAACTGACGTCACACACACACCAACTGACGTCACACACACACCAACTGACGGCACACACACACCAACTGACGGCACACACACACCAACTGACGGCACACACACACCAACTGACGTCACACACACCAACTGACGTCACACACACCAACTGACGTCACACACACCAACTGACGTCACACACACCAACTGACGTCACACACACCAACTGACGTCACACACACCAACTGACGTCACACACACACCAACTGACGTCACACACACACCAACTGACGTCACACACACACCAACTGACGTCACACACACACCAACTGACGTCACACACACCAACTGACGTCACACACACCAACTGACGTCACACACACCAACTGACGTCACACACACCAACTGACGTCACACACACCAACTGACGTCACACACACCAACTGACGTCACACACACCAACTGACGTCACACACACCAACTGACGCACACACACCAACTGACTTCACACACACGCCATCTGACGTCACACACACCAACTGACGTCACACACACCAACTGACTTCACACACACGCCATCTGACGTCACACACACCAACTGACGTCACACACACCAACTGACGTCACACACACCAACTGACGTCACACACACACCAACTGACATCACACACACCAACTGACGTCACACACACCAACTGACGTCACACACACCAACTGACGTCACACACACCAACTGACGTCACACACACCAACTGACGGCACACACACCAACTGACGTCACACACACCAACTGACGTAAATGTAGTGCCACCAAAAAGGCAGAGAGGGCGCCACAGAGACGGTTTTAGGCTCAAAAATGAGATTTTATCTAATTTGCCCTGAAATGTCAACAATAAAAGACTAGGACATTTAAAGGGCACTATAAGAAACGTGTTTATGCAGTTTATGAGTTTAAAAAAAGTTGATTTGGTGTTTAATTGTCCTTTTAACAACATTCTTCAGTTTCTCTTTCTCAAACTTCACCACAAACTTTAAGATTCTTATTCACTTTTATCAATGTCGAAAGTTTACTTGTTGGTTCAATGAGAGAGAGACCAGAGAGAGACCAGAGAGACCAGAATGTTGGCGCAGCCTTCGCCATAAAAGAGTGAATCACCGGAGTGACGGAGGAGTAACTTAACGCAGAGACAGATTCAGTTTGGCTTCATGCGTTCTACACAGGTGCATGAGCAGACAGCCATTTATTATTATTGCGCACCGGTGTGTAGCCACGCCCACCCAGAAAGTAGGTCACTGGGTCAATTGAGGACATACATTCAACACAGAAAGAGACCAGAGAGAGAGAGGGACCAGAAAGAGACCAGAGAGAGACCAGAGAGAGAGACCGTGGTCTCTCTCTCTGGTCTCTTTCTGGTCCCTGTCTCTCTCTGGTCTCTTTGTTCTGGAGGTTCTTTATGAATCCAGACTCTTTAACCGAGCTCCAAGAATAAACACCCAATCTTCTGTCCCCTGGAAAAGCCATGATCCAGCTTCTTCCCTCTGGCAGCGGTGCAGGACATCTGTATATGCTAACATGCTAACAGCTTCTTTCCACAACCTGTCATCAGTCTGACCAAAGCACTTGTACTGAAGCTGGTTTTGTTCATTAGTCTCACAGTGACAATTGTTCCTTGTACTATTTTATTTTGTTTTATTCCTGTCCTTGTCTGGTGCAAACTGGGGACTCTCGCACATGTATTCCAATGGGGTTTTACTGCAAACGGCAAAAGAACTGAACCTGAACACGCCCCACCTGGACTGCCAGCGCCGGCCGGTCTCCCACACTCGCCCAAACGAGGGAAGCCAGTTAGCGTCCGTGTGCGAGCCGTGGTCGAAGTTAGCGCCCACTCGGTTCGGAGGCAGCTTCTTCAGTTTCTCCTGCTCCTCTGCAACAACAAGAAGACAACAGCTTTCCTCAAACGACAAGAACACTCTTTTAATGCATATTAAAACAGTTAATGCCTAACAGTTAATGTGGCGCACAACAGAGCTTTTGCAGCGAGCTCTTAAAATCATCAAAGGAGGGAGCACATAACTCCGGTGTGAAAATCACTCCCCTGGCTCCCTGTGGAGTACAGAATAAAGTTTAAAATCCTTCTCTTAACATATAAAGCCAAAAATGGCTCCAAGACACGTTAGTGTCATATCAACCAAGTTGAGCGTTGCGCTCACAAAACGCCAGACGTCTGGCGGTTCCTAAGGTCTCGAAAAGCACTGTTGGCGGCAGAGCATTTAGCTCCAAGCTCCTTTACTGTGGAATCAGCTTCCCATTTATGTTAAGGAAGCAGATACGGTCTCCACATTCAAGGCCAGGCTTAAAGCACTCTACTTTAATTTAGCATATAGTTAGGCCGTTTGCCTGGATCGGTTTGCACACCTGGTGTGCAATCCATGAATCTTGGTGCTGTAACCTAGACTAGCCTAGCCGTGGCTGCTGCTGTCTCACCTCCTTTCAGATACGCTCTCTTTATTCAAGGCTAGGTTTAAAACAGTCCTCTTTAGTTTAGCATATGGCTAGGAAGGTAAGACTCAGGGAAGGCTAAACTCCTCAGACTGTCAGTCAAGCTGCATAGGGAGCCCCCTGCTGGAGAAGTATGGTAACTTGAGCACTATCCTCTCCTCCTTCTTACTTTATCTGTTTAGCATTATTAGGATTTTGACTGTAGTTTGTTCATTGCTATTCACCCGTTGTCCCATTGTCTGTTTCATGGTATGATGACGGGATCTCTGAGCCTGGCCTCCTCCATCTACACCTGTGGACTGCCCCGCCCGACCCGCCTGGGAGTGCTCAGTCCTGCACCGGACCTGTCCACGTTCAGCGGCCACTGGTCCACGTTCTGTAGCTAGCTTAGGTCCTGGATCATTAGCCTGTCTGTCCGGAGGAGCGGATCCCTTTCTCATATGGGTCTCCCTCCCTGTGGGTTTCCCTAGGTCTCCCCAAGGTTTCTCACTTTTTCCCACTGGGTTTTTTAGGAGTTTTTCCTTGCCGATGCAGGAGGGTCTTGTTGGACAGTTAGTGTCCAACAGAAAGGATTGGTGATGATCAGGACACTTTAGCATTCTACAACATGTATGGACATTTTCTTCTGTGTGTGCTTTATATTCTCCATGTGTTTTAACTGTTGATTCTCTGACCTGTGTTGGGGATTTCAATGGTTTTGTTAAGTCCTCTGAGATGACTTCTGTTGTGACTAGAATAAATTGTATTGTATTGAATTGTATTGTATCAATGACTCTTCTTGCCACCCTGCTAAAGCCATGTTCCAGCTTCTTCCCTCGGGCAGAAGATATCGGTCGCTGAGATGCAAGACATCTCGCTTTGCTAACAGCTTCTTTCCACAAGCTGTGGGTGGCTAAACAGAGCACTTTAAGTGTTGCTTTGTCCATCCATCCATCAATTTTCTTCCGCTTTATCCGTTGCGGGGGCAGCAGTCTAAGCAGAGACGCCCAGACTTCCCTATCCACACACACTTCCTCCAGCTCGTCTGGGGGGACCCCAAGGCGTTCCCAGGCCAGCTGAGAGACATAGTCTCTCCAGCGTGTCCTGGGTCTTCCCCGGGGCCTCCTCCCGGTGGGACGTGCCCGGAACACCTCCCCAGGAAGGCGTCCAGGAGGCATCCTGAACAGATGCCCGAGCCACCTCAACTGGTTCCTCTCGACGTGGAGAAGCAGCGGCTCTACTCCGAGCTCCTCCCGTGTGACCGAGCTCCTCACCCTATCTCTAAGGGAGCGCCCAGCCACTCTGCGGAGGAAGCTCATTTCAACCGCTTGTATCCGCGATCTCGTTCTTTCGGTCATTACCCAAAGCTCATGACCATAGGTGAGGGAGGGAACGAAGATTGACCGGTAAATTGAGAGCTTCGCCTTTCGGCTCAGCTCCCTCTTCACCACAACGGTTCGATACACAGACCGCATCACTGCGCACGCTGCACCGATCCGCCTGTCAATCTCACGCTCCATCCTTCCCTCACTCGTGAACAAGACCCCGAGATACTTGAACTCCTCCACTTGAGGAAGGACCTCTCCACCCACCTGGCGAGGGCAAGGCACCTTTTTTCCGGTCGAGCACCATGGCCTCGGATTTGGAGGTGCTGATTCTCATCCCAGCCGCTTCACACTCGGCAGCAAACCGTCCCAGTGCATGCTGCAGGTCCTGGTTCGTTGGAGCCAGCAGGACGACATCATCCGCAAAAAGTAGAGATGAAATCCTGTGGTTCCCGAACCGGACCCCCTCTGGCCCCTGGCTGCGCCTAGAAATTCTGTCCATAAATACAGTGAACAGAACCGGTGACAAAGGGCAGCCCTGTCGGAGGCCAACATTCACCGGGAACAGGTCTGACTTACTGCCGGCAATGCGAACACAGCTCCGACTCCGGTCATACAGGGACCGGACGGCCCTCAGCAGAGGACCCCGGACCCCGTACTCCCGGAGGACCCCCCAAAGGACACCCCGGGGAACACGGTCGAACGCCTTCTCCAAATCCACAAAGCACATGTGGACAGGTTGGGCAAACTCCCATGAACCCTCGAGTATCCGATGGAGAGGATAGAGCTGGTCCAGTGTTCCGCGACCGGGACGAAAACGACACTGCTCCTCCTGAATCCGAGATTCGACCATCGGACGTAGCCTCATCTCCAGTACCTTGGAGTAGACCTTACCGGGGAGGCTGAGGAGTGTGATCCCACAATAATTGGAACACACCCTCCAGTCCCCCTTCTTGTAGTGAGAGACCACCCCCCCGGTCTGCCACTCCATTGGCACCGCCCCCGATCGCCACGCGATGCTGCAGAGACGTGTCAGCCAAGACAGTCCTACAACATCCAGAGACTTTAGATAGTCAGGACGGATCTCATCCGCTCCCGGCGCCTTGCCACCATGGAGGCTGCCAACCACCTTGGTGACCTCGGCCAGGGAGATGGAAGTATCCGCCCCAACATCCTCAGCCTCTGCCTCCTGGACGGAGGACGTGACGGGGGGATTGAGGAGAACCTCGAAGTATTCCTTCCACCGCTCGACAATATCCCCAGTCGAGGTCAGCAGCCCTCCACCCGCACCATACACGGTGTTGGCAAAGAACTGCTTCCCCCTCCTGAGGCGCCGGACGGTTTGCCAGAACCTCTTCGAGGCCGACCGATAGTCATGCTCCATGGACTCTCCAAACTCCTCCCAGTCCCGGGTTTTTGCCTCTGCAACAGCCCGGGCCGCGGCATGTTTGGCCTGCCGGTACTGGACAGCTGCCTCAGGAGTCCCACGAACCATCATTGCTCGATAGGACTCCTTCTTCAGCCTGACGGCATCCCTTACTGCCGGTGTCCACCACCGGGTTCGGGGATTGCCGACCTTGCGACCACAGCTACGAGCCGCCGCATTGGCGATAGAGGAAGAGAACATGGTCCACTCGGACTCAATGTCCCCCTCCTCTGCCGGGACCTGGGAGAAGCTCTCCCGGAGGTTTGAGTTGAAAGTCCGTCTGACAGGGGGCTCAGCAAGACGTTCCCAGCAAACCCTCACTACACGCTTGGGCCTGCCAGGTCTGACCGGCCTCCTGCCCTGCCAGCGGATCCAACTCACGACCAGGTGATGATCGGTTGACAGCTCCGCCCCTCTCTTCACCCGAGTGTCCAAGACACGCGGTCAAAGGTCAGATGATACGACAACAAAGTCTATCATCGACCTCCGGCCTAAGGTGTCCTGCTGCCACGTGCACTGATGGACACCCTTGTGCTCGAACATGGTGTTCGTGATGGACAGACCGTGACTTGCACAGAAGTCCAACAACTGAACACCGCTCAGGTTCAGATCAGGGGGGCCGTTCTTCCCGATCACCCCTCTCCAAGTGTCACTGGCATTTCCCACATGGGCGTTGAAGTCCCCCAGGAGAGTGAAGTCCCCGGGCGGTGCACTGTCCAGTACCCCTCCCAAGGACTCCAAGAAGGCCGGGTACTCTGCACTACCGTTAGGCCCGTAGGCCGTCACAACAGTGAGAGCCTTGTCCCCCACCCGGAGGCGGAGGGGCGCGACCCTCTCATTCACCGGGGAGAACTCCAACACGTGGCGGCTGAGATGGGGGGCAATGAGTATGGCCACCCCAGCTCGCCGCCTCTCCCCGCGGGAAACACCAGAAAAGTGGAGCGTCCAACCCCTCTCAAGGAGTTGGGTTCCAGAGCCCAAGCTGTGTGTGGAGGTGAGGCCGACTATCTCTAGTCGGTATCGCTCAACCTCCCCCACAAGCTCGGGCTCCTTCCCCCCCAGTGAGGTGACGTTTCACGTCCCAAGAACCAGATGTTGGGTGTGTGGACTGGGTCGTCGAGGTCTCCGCCTTCGACTGCTACCCAGTCCTCGCTGCACCTCGCCACCACGGACCCCTCTGCAGGTGGTGGGCCCACAGGAGGGACTGCCCACGTCATCCCTTCGGGCTGAGCCCGGCCGGGCCCCGTGGGCTAAGGCCCGGCCACCAGGCGCTCGCTTGCGAGCCCCGACCCCAGGCCTGGCTCCAGGGTGGGACCCCGGCTGCGCCATGCCGGGCGACGTCACCGTTCTAATATAAGTGCTGTCCATGGTTGGCTTCGGACTGCGCTTCGTCTGACTCGTCACTTGAGACCTGTCTGCCATGGGAGACCCTACCAGGGGCATGAAGCCCCAGACAGCATAGCTCCCAGGATCATCCGAGTGCTCAAACTCCCCCACCACGTTAAGGTGGCAGTCCAAGGGGGAGTCTTGCTTTGTCGTATCGGTTTTTTTGTCAATCGGTGCCACAGTGTCCGCTGTTTTTATTCATGTTCAGTGCATGTGTGTTTTATATTGTTCTATTGTTGATATATTATTACATTGTACTGTGCTCTTTATTCTGTCGGTGCACACCGAGTACCTTTTTTTTGCAAATGTATTCCAATGTGGTTTTTATACTGCACATGGGCAATAAAATGTATCTGAATCTGATCTAATGCACAACATTTTAGGACACATTAGTAGAGTTCCTTCAGGACAGAAGCGGACCCCGGCAAGACTTTCCTGTCCGTACTTATTTTCCTGTCTGTACCCATTTTCCTGTCTGTACTTAGTTTCCGATAATGACCTGCTTTACATGATCTCTGACTTCCGAATTGGGTTTGGTTTGAATACGAGCAGAAAAACAAAAAAGGAACGGACTGTGTTTGAGGAAGCCCTGGAGAGAAGGCCCCTGCTCCTGCTGCGGCGCTGAGGCTGATCCGGAGCCGCCTTCCAGAGGGTCCTCGTCCTGTTGGAGCCACGGGGGAAGGGCTCCTAATCACACAGAGACGAGAAAACTGCAGTTTAACAACTATAGTTCACTTCACTTTAATAAACTGTCCTGTCTGTGGACCAGAGAGAGACTAGAGAGAGACCAGAGGGAGACTAGAAAGAGTGGAGAGAGACAAGAGAGAGGGATCAGAGAGAGACTAGAAAGAGAAAACAGAGGGGGAGTAAAGAGAGACTAGAAAAATAGAGGAGAGAGACCAGAGAGAGACTAGAAAGATAGCGGACAGAGACCAGGGAGAGACCAGAGATAGACCAGAGAGAGAACAGAGAGGGGGTGGAGAGAGACAAGAAAGAGAGCGGAGAGAGACGAGAGAGAGACCAAAGAGAGAGACCAGAGAGACCAGAGACCAGCAAGAGACCAGAGAGACCAGAGAGAGGGATCAGAGAGACCAGAGAGAGACTAGAAAGAGGACAGAGAGGGAGTGAAGAGAGACCAGAGAGAGACCAAAGATAACCTAGATGGAGACCAGAGAGAGAGAGCAGAGGGAGACCAGGCAGAGAGACCAGGCAGAGAGACCAGAGGCAGAGAGAACAGAGAGAGGCCGGAGAGAGACCAGAGAGAGACTAGAAAGAGAACAGCGAGGGAGTGAAGAGAGACCAGAGAGAGACCAGAGAGAACCAGATGGAGAACAGAGAGAGAAAGACCAGAGAGAGAGCAGAGGGAGACCAGGCAGAGAGACCAGAGAGAGACCAGAGCCAGAGAGAACAGAGAGGCCGGAGAAAGACCAGAGAGAGAGCAGAGAGAACCCAGATAGAGACCAGAGAGAGATCCTGAGTCTAGACCATGCGTTGTATAAAACCAATCACAGTCAGACGACAGCGTTACCTGTGTGTACGTTTCCAGCGTCTGAGTTCTGTTGAGAGACAAACAATAATCAGTGATGGTCCCTTCATGGTCCTCAGCATCAGTCCTCACCTGGTTCCCGATGTAGGTCAGTCCTGCTGCGGAGTAGGGGACATCAGGCGGAGGCTCCAGACTCCTGCTGCTCGTCTGTGGCCGGCTCTCCTCAGATACACCACCACTGGGAACCATGTGAACCATGAGAGACACCATGAGAAACACCATGAGAGAGTAGAACAGACTCAGTGCTGTGTCCTGCTGTTACCTGCTGCGGTCGCCTGCTGGACGGACTGGCTCCTCGGGGTTCTGCGACTCTGAACTGTGCTGTTGTTGATTCAGGAAGGGCCAACAGTGTTTCATACAGGGACATTCTGACAAGTTTATTTACTCATACAGTTATCAAACACATGGGTTTAGTTTGGAATTTAGAGATTCACTTCAACATATTCTCATGGATATGACTGAGCTGTAGTATCAATACTACAGACGCCCTCCACAAAGAGAGAGGACCTGAGGAGGCTCTACTGCTGAGGAGGCTCTACTGCTGAGGAGGCTCTCTGCTGAGGAGGCTCAGGTCTTTTGGAGTGCAGGGGCCACTCCTGATGACTTTATGGTAAGGTCTGCAGCAGCAGCATCACAAAGAGGGACAGGAAGAAGCTGGAACATCAGGAAGTCCAACTCTGTCCTGTTCCCTGGACATAGTGCAGCAGGTGGGGACAGGAGGGTCCTGGACAAACTAACTTCTGTGTGGACCATGACAGCGCCCCCTGCAGGACTCTGTCTGCTCTGGAGAGCAGCTTCAGCGACAGCCAAAGGTGAAGCTACCTTACAACATGAAAACCTGTGTCTTTTATTCAAGTGGACAAAAATATACTTTCAAATGTTGCTCATGCGGCTTATACACGTGTGCGCCCAACGATCCAGAATCAGTTTTAGATGTTACACATTTAAAAAGAAAACAAAGCAAAGGCAGTCAGAGGATGAGCTGGACTCTATGTTGGATACAAACAAACCTCAGACAGAGACATGAGGATCTCCTGCCGCTGCTTCTCCTGCAGACGGATACATTCTGCCTCCTGCCGGCAGAGGACCGCACGTTACACACAAACCCAACAACCACACACAACATGAGAACCACACACACAACATGAGAACCACACAACACAAGAACCACTCACACGAGAACCACACACACAACATGAGAACCACACACACAACATGAGAACCACACACACAACATGAGAACCACACACACCTGTTTGATGAAGTCCTCCTCCTCCTCCACAAAGGAGCCCAGCGCCGTCTGCACCTCGGCCTTGAACCTAAGAGAGGACCGCGAGTGTCACATTCATCTGTTATCATTAGTCACAACCTCCTGCTGGGACTCTGAGGAGCACAGGGACTGGCCTGCTGCTGGGACTCTGAGGAGCACAGGGACTGGCCTCCAGCTGGGACTCTGAGGAGCACAGGGACTGGCCTGCTGCTGGGACTCTGAGGAGCACAGGGACTGGCCTCCTGCTGGGACTCTGAGGAGCACAGGGACTGGCCTCCAGCTGGGACTCTGAGGAGCACAGGGACTGGCCTCCTGCTGGGACTCTGAGGAGCACAGGGACTGGCCTCCAGCTGGGACTCTGAGGAGCACAGGGACTGGCCTCCTGCTGGGACCCCGAGGAGCACAGGGACTGGCCTCCAGCTGGGACTCTGAGGAGCACAGGGACTGGCCTCCAGCTGGGACTCTGAGGAGCACAGGGACTGGCCTCCAGCTGGGACTCTGAGGAGCACAGGGACTGGCCTCCAGCTGGGACTCTGAGGAGCACAGGGACTGGCCTCCAGCTGGGACTCTGAGGAGCACAGGGACTGGCCTCCTGCTGGGACCCCGAGGAGCACAGGGACTGGCCTCCTGCTGGGACTCAAGAGGAGCACAGGGACTGGCCTCCTGCTGGGACTCTGAGGAGCACAGGGACTGGCCTCCTGCTGGGACTCTGAGGAGCACAGGGACTGGCCTCCAGCTGGGACTCTGAGGAGCACAGGGACTGGCCTCCTGCTGGGACTCTGAGGAGCACAGGGACTGGCCTCCAGCTGGGACTCTGTGGAGCACAGGGACTGGCCTCCTGCTGGGACCCCGAGGAGCACAGGGACTGGCCTCCTGCTGGGACTCTGAGGAGCACAGGGACTGGCCTCTTCTATGACAAGGTTCAAATCCAGCTAAAAAGGATTTTATCTTTATTCTGTTTATTGTACTGTGATTATTGGTGATGTTACGCCTTGGTGACTGTTTCCATCTTGTTTTGTTCAGCACTTTGAGTTTCCTTGTGCATGAACTGTGCTATACAGATAAACATGACTTGACTCCATAGTTTATAATCTGTTATCTTAAAGTAGTACTAGAATTTAATATGCTGCTATCCAGAATATATAACTACAATATGTGTTTATAATATTTCGGGTGTTCATTTTGATATGTTCAGATGAATTATGTTAAAAAAACAGCTTTGAAGTCGGACCTTTTCACAAACGCTAGGGGGCGCCAAAATGGCGGCGATGACGTAGGAGAATGACCTCTCACAGCAGCAGCAGCAGTCTTAGCATTGAATATTACAATGTACATTGTGGTAAATAAATCTAAGGAAACCAAAGTGAGACTGGCATAATGTAAAAATGAATATTAGCCTTGTTAGCATGTTTTATGATATCAAGTAGAGTTAGATAACTTGCCCAACACTAATTAGCTTGAATCTCACAAATAAGGCTAAAAGGTTAAAAGAGTTGCACACTATTATGTACAAAACTGATGAAAATATGTTTATACCTTGTTCAGATGACAGTGAAACCTCCTACAGATTCAGCCCAGACTGCTGCTGCTGTGAGAGGTCCTTCTCCTACGTCATCGCCGCCATTTTGGGTCCCCCTAGCGTTTCTATGCGGAAGTGAAAAGGTGCCACTTCAAAGCAGTTTTTTTTAACATAATTCATCTGAACATGTCAAAATGAACACCCGAAATATTATAAACACATATTGTAGTTATATATTCTGGATAGCAGCATATTAAATTCTAGTACTACTTTAAATACTAGATCCTGTGTGATGTGTGCATAACCTCCTTTTGCTCTGCTGAAATTTGCGCAAAGTTATGACATTGAAATTTCCTTTATATCATAAACGCCCAAATAAGTAATCGGCCTCTTCCGCGTCAAGGCCACGATGGTGATGTCACACGTGGTCAGTTCTGGTCTATGGTGCGGTTTAAGTGTATATTATCTACTCTTAAGCCTAGTGTATACTCGCGGCGCGGAGCTTACGGAGGTGACGTCACTTGCGCAACGCGTTGGTCACCGCAAGGCCCTTACGTCGCCTGCCGCGCAGCATCGACATTTTCTAACTACGTAAGGGTCGCCGCAAGGAAGCTCCGCTGTGATTGGTCCGTGTGTGTGTATTGGAAGGAAGCACGGAGCGGCTGCAGCAGGGACATGGACGAGGCACTATGGAGCAGAGAGCTTTGTGCTTCGAAGGAAAAGCAGTTTGGGCTTAGAGCCTGATATACAGGAGACTGTGGACTATCTAACATATATATAACTTATATCTAACTTATATATAACTTATATCTAACTTATATATAACTTATATCTAACTTATATATAACTTATATCTAACATATATATAACTTATAAACTGTTCCTGTCTTGTTTGAATCGTAGCTGCGTTTGTTGCTTTCCTCCTGCACTCGTAAATCGTTCATGTTTGTCTCAGATATTTACCACTATTATTGTTTTGCTGTTTGTGCTGAAAACTATTTAATAATAACCATGTTTCCAACAAGAACTGTGTCTTTATTCACAGCATCACAGTTGAAATGACTTATAAAATAATGAATCCATAAAACTATCACATAAACCTACAGTAGAAACACGTGTAATGATCTCAAACAGCTTTGTTTGTTATTGTTGTTCTGAAGAGGACAAAGTAGCAGCGTAAATGGGACCGCTCCTGTGTGATCGCCCTCATGTGGTTTGTTGTGGGATTACAACATTCTCCTCAAAACTCCGTAAGGGGAACACGCCAGTATAACATCAATTGTGCTCACGTAGGTCCACCGCAACCGCTAACGTAAGCCACGCCGCGCAAGTATACACTAGGCTTTATGATTCACACTGCAACAAGTGACCACAAATGAGTCAAAAACTGCTCAAATTTGGCTAAATGTGTCTTAATCTGAGCACATACGGACTGAGCTTTAAAACAAGATTTGCCGATGAGACGAAACAAAATAATCTTATTTTAAAACGAGAAAAGAAATGTCTCCCTTGGAATGAGAAAATAATTACCTGTCGACTTCCTCTTTGGAGAAAAGGAACTTGTCTTTGAGCTTCTGTTCTGCTTTGTTCTGCCACCAGAACGTGTGAGTGTTCTTCCTGTGCTCCGGCCTGGAATCAGACAGAGACCATAAGAGCGGACCACAGGACGGAGCTATTTCAGAGAGATTTTCATTGTTGTTACAAATGGGATTAATGAATGTGGATCTACAGCCCGAGGGCTGGATCTAAGGCCCGAGGCCTTGGTCTACGGCCTCGGTCCCGGATCTACAGCCTCGGTCCCGGGTCTACAGCCTCGGTCCCGGGTCTACAGCCTCGGTCCCGGGTCTACAGCCTCGGTCCCGGGTCTACAGCCTCAATCCCGGGTCTACAGCCTCGGTCCCGGGTCTACAGCCTCGGTCCCGGGTCTACAGCCTCGGTCCCGGGTCTACAGCCTCGGTCCCGGGTCTACAGCCTCGGTCCCGGGTCTACAGCCTCGGTCCCGGGTCTACAGCCTCGGTCCCGGGTCTACAGCCTCGGTCCTGGGTCTACAGCCTCGGTCCCGGGTCTACAGCCTCGGTCCCGGGTCTACAGCCTCAGTCCTGGGTCTACAGCCTCAGTCCTGGGTCTACAGCCTCAGTCCTGGGTCTACAGCCTTCCATTCAACCCCAGTTCTTACGTTGCCATGTGCTCGATGAGTCCAGCAAAGAGCACCATCATGTTTCCGTCCGTCACGTTTTTCTCCACTTCGAGTCCGCAGCAGTAACACCAGAACTTCTGAGTGTGAAGAGAGCCGTCGAACTTCTGCACCTGAGGCTTTTTCAGCAGCCGCCGAGCCTCTTTCACCTCGACACAGATCAAACCACACTTAAGTATAAGTCAAGGGTTTTCATGTGGTAATGTAGCAGAGATGTTTACAACTATATATTTCTTGCAGTAGATTCATAATATACAGTGTTTTATCCTTGCTTCCTCATTATGCTAAACCTAGAGATTTTTCAGTAGTTGTGTCCACAGGGAAGAGAGACCGGAGTCTGCAGTAAATCCAAACACACAGGACACAAGAAGAGCTCTGTCTGCGCCATCGCTGCTGCTACAGTTTCACTGACACGGAAATGAAACTTATGAGAGAGAGAGAGAGACGGAGGGAGAGAGAGAGAGGGAGGGAGGGAGGGAGGGAGAGGCCTGTGTTTATATGTGTGTGTGTGTGTGTGTGTGTGTGTGTGTGTGATTCAAAACAACGCCCATTAACCCCAAACAACCACTGACAACACACTCAGAGAGAACAGAAGGACCAGAGGGAGGGGCCAGTGTGTGTGTGAGTCATAGATGTGTGCGTGCGATAACAAGGAAATGACAGAGAATCAAGTGTGTATCTGCAAAAATCCCCAAAAATACAAGGATCAGTGGCGATAATGGACGACTCTGATAAAGTTTACTACAGTTCTACTGTCAGCAGCTAAAACCTCTGGATCTACTTTACACTGCAGTCTGTGAGAGAGACCAGAGAGAGAGAGACCAGAGAGAGAGAGACCAGAGAGAGAGAGACCAGAGAGAGAGAGACCAGAGAGAGAGACCAGAGAGAGAGAGAGACCAGAGAGAGAGAGACCAGAGAGAGACCAGAGACCAGAGAGAGAGAGACCAGAGAGATATAGACTAGAGAGAGACCAGAGACAGACCAGAGAGAGACCAGAGAGAGACCAGAGAGAGAGAGACCAGAGAGAGAGAGACCAGAGAGAGATAGACTAGAGAGAGAGACCAGAGAGAGGCAAGGCAAGGCAAGGCATGTTTATTTGTATAGCACAATTCATACACAAGGCAACTCAAAGTGCTGAACAAGATAGCATTAAAATCATAAATAATCACAGAACATTAAAAAGAAAGATAAAAATATAAAATCCCTCAGTTGTATGCACAGCTAAACAGCACAGTTTTTAACTTGGTTTTAAACATAGTCAGAGAGGAGGCCTGTCTCACATCTTCAGGAAGAATGTTCCAGATTTTAGCAGCATGAATCTGAAAAGCAGCCTCCCCATGTTTAGTCCTGACTCTGGGCACTAACAGGAGTCCAGTCCCTGTGCTCCTCAGAGTCCGGGCTGGTTCATATGGGACTAACATGTCACTAATATATTTTGGTGCGAGGCCATGGAGAGACTTGTACACAAGCAGAGCTGTTTTAAAGTCTATTCTCTGAGCCACAGGAAGCCAGTGCAGAGACCTGAGGACCGGACTAATATGGTCGTACTTCCTGGTTCTAGTCAGGACTCGAGCTGCTGCAGAGATAGAGACCAGAAAGAGATAGACTAGAGAGAGAGAGACCAGAGAGAGATAGACCAGAGAGAGAGAGACCAGAGAGAGATAGACCAGAGAGAGACCAGAGAGAGAGAGACCAGAGAGAGACCAGAGAGACAGGGCAGGGTGGAGGAGGTCAGATAAGTGGTCAGTTGTGGGGGTCCGGGTGATGTGGGGGTGATGTGGTCAGCTGTGGGGGTCCGGGTGATGTGGGGGTGATGTGGTTAGCTGTGGGGGTCCGGGTGATGTGGGGGTGATGTGGTCAGCTGTGGGGGTCCGGGTGATGTGGTCAGCTGTGGGGGTCCGGGTGATGTGGGGGTGATGTGGTCAGCTGTGGGGGTCCGGGTGATGTGGGGGTGATGTGGTCAGCTGTGGGGGGTCCGGGTGAGGATGTGAGCTGCAGAGTTTTGGAGGAGCTGCAGTTTCTGGAGGGATTTGTTGGGGAGGCCAAAGAGAAGTGAGCTGCAGTAGTTAATCCTAGAGGTGACGAGGCTGTGGACGAGGATGGCGGTGGTGTGGGGGGTGGGAGAGGGGCGGAGACGAGAGATATTGCGCAGGTGGAAGTAGAAAGACAGAGTTATGTTATTGATGTGAGATTGGAAGGAGAGTGAACTGTCGAGGATGACACCCAGACTCTTGACCTGAGGGGAGGGGAGGACAGATGTGTTATGGATGGAGACAGAGAAGCTGTTAGATTTGGAGAGAGTGGAGGGGGGGGGGGTGCCTATGAGAAGGACTTCTGTTTTAGAGCTGTTGAGTTTGAGAAAGTTGGAAGAGAACCAGGAGTGAATTTCTTGTAGACAGAGGGTGAGGGAGGATGGAGGGAGAGAGGGAGAGGGTTCAGTGGAGAGGTAGAGCTGGGTGTCATCCGCGTAACAGTGGAAGTGAATGTTGTGACGGCGGAGGATGTGACCGAGTGGGAGAATATAGATGATGAAGAGGAGGGGCCCCAGGATAGAGCCCTGGGGCACACCAGCGGAGACAGGAAAAGAGCTGGATTTGTGGGATTTGAGATGGATGTATTGTGAGCGACCAGAAAGACAGGAGGTGAACCAGGCGAGGGGGGTGTGGGTGATGCCGATGGAGGAGAGTCTGTTAAGGAGAGTGGAGGGAGAGATGGTGTCAAAGTCTGCAGTGAGGTCAAGAAGGATGAGGATGAAGAGTAAACCGGAGTCAGAGCCTATGAGGAGGTCGTTGGTGATTTTTAGCAGTGCTGTTTCGGTGCTGTGGAGGGGACGGAAACCAGACTGAAATTGTTCCTAGATGTCGTTAGCGGTGAGGTGGTTGTGGAGTTGAGCAGCGACAGATTTTTCAAGTATTTTGGAGATGAAGGGAGGGTTTGAGATGGGACGGAGGTTGTTGAAGTTGGTGGGATCCAGAACAGGTTTTTTTTGAGAATGGGTGAGACTGAGGCAGGAAATAAGTCAAAAATGTCTAACATTTGGCAAAATTTGTCTTAATCTGAGCACATTCTGACTGAGACCTAAAACAATGTTTAACAAAGAGACAAAGCAAAATGATCTAGTTTTAAAAAGATACAGAAATGTCTCCCTGAGAATGTGTGTATGTGTGTGTATGTCAGTGTGTCTGTGTGTGTTTGTCTGAGGCTGAGTGTGTGTGTGTGTATGTCTGAGGCTGAGTGTGTGTGTCTGTGGCTGAGTGTGTCTATGTGTGTGTGTCTGTGTGTACAGTATGTGTGTGTCTGTGTGTATGTGTGTGTCAGTGTTTATGTGTGTGTGTCTATGTGTATGTCTATGTGTGTGTGTCTATGTGTGTGTCTGTGTGTGTGTGTCTGTGTGTGTCTATGTGTATGTTTCTATATGTGTGTGTCTATGTGTGTGTTTCTATATGTGTGTGTATGTGTCTATGTGTGTGTCTATGTGTGTGTGTCTGTGTGTGTGTCTATGTGTGTGTTTCTATATGTGTGTGTGTGTCTATAAGTGTGTGTCTCTGCGTGTGTCCAAACGTCCCGCACACACACTACAGTACCTTTGACACTGTCTTCATTGTTGTTGTGTGTCTGATTCAAATCCACAGTAAACTTCTTTCTGTAGAATGACTTTTGTTGCTTCTGGTTCAGTCTTTATTCAACACATTTCTCTGCATTCATAGAATCTATCAAATCTAAATCTTTCATTTTCTCTAACAATAACAAGTGTTTTAGAACAATCCATTCTACACACATGTTTTTTGGACGCTCAGAGACACTTCTCAGCTTTATTCTTTCTCCAAAAGTGAAGCGTCTGGATTGACTTGTGACTGACACTGACCCGGCCCAAAAGTGGTTGGACTGGTTCTGAACAATGCAGAAGAAAGTCTGTGTTCTTAAGCTTTGTACATGTACTCTGGTATTATGTTAGAGTAAAGTTACTATCTATGTATGTGTGGCGGTGTAGTGGTTAGGGTACAACAATATAAGTAATCTTTTGGATAATAGCCCAATGTACAGCAACGCCACCTGGGGAGATGGCCCCAGGACCAATAATAGCCACTTGTTACGAGCAGTAATACAAAATAACCCGCCCCCCCCCGCAGTAAGGGCACAAAGGTTCGTTGGACTGAAGAGTACGAGAGAGAGTACGAGAGGATTATAAAAAATATATATTTATTTTCACAATTTTGTTAAATTAGTCATGGACACATGTTCACTTTCACAGATCTTAAAATACTTTATAAACCTTAACAAAACAAAATAACAGTGACCTCAGGGGGAAACAGCAGCAGCAGTTATTACATCTTCACCTATAGACTAAACTCCCTACCAACGTTACCAGTCTGCCTGGGAGAGCGCCAGTCCGAGTGCTAAAATCAGTGGTCTGGTTAGCCGTAGGTCCAAGGGCCAGGTAGACAGCCCACAACGCAGGGTGAGTGTTGCCCAGGGATGGTCACATAAGTGGAGGCCCCGAAGGAGAAGCTCTGAAAGGGGCCGCTCACGGGAGAAGGGGAGGCTCGTCGGATCTACACTGAGAATTAAGTTTATTAAAGCTAAATAAGAGGGAGCGAGAGCAAAGAGCGCAAGAGCGAGAGAGCGAGAGAGAGAGAGAGAGAGAGAGAGAGCAGAAAACGAGCGCCAGAGCAGAGAGAACCAGAGAGTGAAAGAGGGAGCAAGAGCAAAGCGCGCAAGAGCGAGAGCAGAGAGAGAGAGACTGATAGAGAGATATACACCTAGGCTATGAACTGTAGAACCATACATACCAAGATCTTGCAGTTTTAGAGTGTAGCGTGAAGGTGCCCGTTAACCCAGGCGGGGCGCACACCACTGAATGAAAGCCCATATCAACATATATATAAATAAATAAACACATAAATCATATACACATACATAATATATATATATACATATATATATAATACATGTGTCAGATCAACTGATACGAATGATGAAATGCCTTACCAAGATGGAAATATTCACATTCCCCGTATTTGTACCAACTGCAGGGAATTAATGCAGCCCACAAGCCTGCACAGCTGCCTAAAAACGAAGCCGAGTTAGGCCTTCTGAAGGAACAATTTATGAATGGGAGTGTCCCAGTACTCACCGAGGAGGCGCTCTAAATCCGACAACAGGTCTGAGTAAGCGCAAAAACCCGCAAGTGCAATGTACTCAATGCCAAACAAATAAGGATGGCCCGCACGCCAGCACACGAAGCCAAGTAGATCGCCACGCAGCATGCAGACGCCAGAGGTGAGGAGAGAGACGCGACAGGTGAAACTAGTTCCCGTAATCAAGGCCCTGCCGCAGCGTGATTGGCCACCAGTGGGCATGCGCGTACCACTACACTCGTGTTGCTGCTACTCGAGTACTACTGTCATCTATGTATATGCTGCTGCTACTCGAGTACTTCTGTCATCTATGTATGTGCTGCTGCTACTCGCGTACTACTGTAGTGTATGTATGTGCTGCTGCTACTCGAGTACTACTGAAATCGATGTATTTGTCGCTGCTACTCGAGTACTACTGTAGTGTATGTATATGCTGCCACTACTCGAGTACTACTGTAGTGTGTGTGTTACTCTGCCTCAGTGAATTCCCAGTGTGTGTGTGTGTGTGTGTGTGTGTGTGTGTGTGTGTGTGTGTGTGTGTGTGTGTGTGTGTGTGTGTGTTTGTCAGTGTCTATACTTATTTCTAAACTTCATATTTTTACAGTTTTCTGGCATCAGCTCGACATAAGCCTCACGAAAACAGATCCATTCCATATTTTTATTGCAGGTTTAAAGCCTTCACCGTCGAAAACCAGCGTTAATCATTCTGTGACCTGGAGCTTTACAATTACGAGTCAAAGTCCACAAGAAACTCATACAACAATTAGAGTGGATTTAAAGGAGAAAATCAGGTTTACAGTACGACAGAGCAGAGAATTGAGCAGTGACATCACATGAGGAACAACAATAGAATATAGGAGAGAAGTTCATATTAAGATCAACTAAACAGTTTACAATCTGACACACTTAGGACCACATGGGTCTGGGAAGAAAGCATCGTTCAGCATATGGCACATCGTAGGAAAGACTTAGAAATACTACTTTAGGCCAAAACACACAGATTGTCAGTGACGCTGCATATGGAGACCCCTGCTGGAGGAGTGTGGGAACTGCACTATCCTCTGCTCTCTCTGACTTTATCTGTCGTCATTATGGCTTCAGCTGTAGTCTGTTCATTTAAGTCTCAGTCCTGGGTCTACAGCCTCAGTCCTGGGTCTAGAGTCTCAGTTCTGGATCTACAGCCTCAGTCCTGGGTCTACAGCCTCAGTCCTGGGTCTCCAGGCTCAGTCCTGGGTCTACAGTCTCAGTCCTGGGTCTACAGTCTCAGTCCTGGGTCAGTCCTGGGTCTACAGTCTCAGTCCTGGGTCTAGTCTCAGTCCTGGGTCTACAGTCTCAGTCCTGGGTCCACAGTCTCAGTCCTGGGTCTACAGCCTCAGTCCTGGGTCTACAGCCTCAGTCCTGGATCTACAGCCTCAGCCCTGGGTCTACAGTCTCAGTCCTGGGTCTACGGTCTCAGTCCTGGGTCTGCAGTCTCAGTCCTGGGTCTAGTCTCAGTCCTGTGTCAGTCCTGGGTCTACAGTATCAGTCCTGGGTCTAGTCTCAGTCCTGGGTCAGTCCTGGGTCTACAGTCTCAGTCCTGGGTCTAGTCTCAGTCCTGGGTCTACAGTCTCAGTCCTGGGTCTACACTCTCAGTCCTGGGTCTAGTCTCAGTCCTGGGTCAGTCCTGGGTCTACAGTCTCAGTCCTGGGTCTACAGTCTCAGTCCTGGGTCTAGTCTCAGTCCTGGGTATAGAGTCTCAGTCCTGGGTCTAGAGTCTCAGTCCTGGGTCTACAGTCTCAGTCCTGGGTCTACAGTTTCAGTCCTGGGTCTAGAGTCTAAGTCCTGAGTCTAGTCTCAGTCCTGGGTCTACAGTCTCAGTCCTGGGTCTTCAGTGTCAGTCCTGGGTCTACAGTCTCAGTCCTGGGTCTACAGTCTCAGTCCTGGGTCTACAGCCTCAGTCCTGGGTCTCCAGTCTCAGTCCTGGGTCTACAGTCTCAGTCCTGGGTGTACAGCCTCAGTCCTGGGTCTACAGCCTTTGTCCTGGGTCTAGTCTCAGTCCTGGGTCTACAGTCTCAGTCCTGGGTCTACAGTTTCAGTCCTGGGTCTAGTCTCAGCCCTGGGTTTAGTCTCAGTCCTGGGTCTAGTCTCAGCCCTGGGTTTAGTCTCAGTCCTGGGTCTACAGTCTCAGTCCTGGGTCTAGTCTCAGTCCTGGGTCTACAGTCTCAGTCCTGGGTCTACAGTTTCAGTCCTGGGTCTAGTCTCAGCCCTGGGTTTAGTCTCAGTCCTGGGTCTAGTCTCAGCCCTGGGTTTAGTCTCAGTCCTGGGTCTATAGTCTCAGTCCTAGGTCTAGTCTCAGTCCTGGGTCTACAGTCTCAGTCCTGGGTCTAGTCTAAGTCCTGGGTCTATAGTTTCAGTCTCAGTCCTGGGTCAGTCCTGGGTCTACAGTCTCAGTCCTGGGTCTAGTCTCAGTCCTGGGTCTAGTCTCAGTCCTGGGTCTAGTCTCAGTCCTGGGTCTACAGTCTCAGTCCTGGGTCTAGTCTCAGTCCTGGGTCTAGTCTCAGTCCTGGGTCTACAGTCTCAGTCCTGGGTCTAGTCTCAGTCCTGGGTCTAAAGTCTCAGTCCTGGGTCTAAAGTCTCAGTCCTGGGTCTACAGTTTCAGTCCTAGGTCTAGTCTCAATCTTGGGTCTACAGCCTCAGTCCTGGGTCTACAGCCTCAGTCCTGGGTCCACAGTCTCAGTCCTGGGTCTAGTCTCAGTCCTGGGTCTAGTCTCAGTCCTGGGTCTAGTCTCAGTCCTGGGTCAGTTCTGGGTCTACAGTCTCAGTCCTGGGTCTAGACTCAGTCCTGGGTCTACAGTCTCAGTCCTGGGTCTAGTCTCAGTCCTGGGTCTAGTCTCAGTCCTGGGTCTACAGTCTCAGTCCTGGGTCTACAGTCTCAGTCCTGGGTCTAGTCTCAGTCCTGGGTCTACAGTCTCAGTCCTGGGTCTACAGCCTCAGTCCTGGGTCTACAGCCTCAGTCCTGGGTCTAGAGTCTCAGTCCTGGGTCTACAGCCTCAGTCCTGGGTCTAGAGTCTCAGTTCTGGATCTACAGCCTCAGTCCTGGGTCTACAGCCTCAGTCCTGGGTCTCCAGGCTCAGTCCTGGGTCTACAGTCTCAGTCCTGGGTCTACAGTCTCAGTCCTGGGTCAGTCCTGGGTCTACAGTCTCAGTCCTGGGTCTACAGTCTCAGTCCTGGGTCTAGTCTCAGTCCTGGGTCTACAGTCTCAGTCCTGGGTCCACAGTCTCAGTCCTGGGTCTACAGCCTCAGTCCTGGGTCTACAGCCTCAGTCCTGGATCTACAGCCTCAGCCCTGGGTCTACAGTCTCAGTCCTGGGTCTACGGTCTCAGTCCTGGGTCTGCAGTCTCAGTCCTGGGTCTAGTCTCAGTCCTGTGTCAGTCCTGGGTCTACAGTATCAGTCCTGGGTCTAGTCTCAGTCCTGGGTCAGTCCT